TCGGTACAAGTTCCAGATGTTATGGCTCTAGTGATAGCGCATGTAAATAATGTTACATAGGCTTTTTGACTTCCTTTGATGTTTTTACGTAAATCAGTCCAGCAAAATCAATACCAGACACATAGAATAGTGGTGTCTCATTGATTCTGTCTTCTGGAAGTTGAGAAGTGGTCTGGTCAGCAGACTTCAATGAATATCTTTTACAAATAAGACACTTGTTTATTATTTTCTTGATAAATTGACGTCCTTTTCGAATCCAAAAGCGACTTTGAATTTCAGCTAAGGTCGTTGCTACTCCTCCATGCATCATTTTAACATTTGCACTTTCTACTATCAAATTCGTTAGCTAGGAGTCTCTTGAAAGAATTGCCGGATGTTTTTCATCATGTGATAAACTAGAATGTTCTAATCTTCCACCTGCTCTCAGTATCCCGTTCTGGTCTAAAAATGGGTTAAAAAGATATAAGGATGATTTCTTTTCGACTTTATTCGCTTTCTTCAGAGACTCAATTTCTTCGGGATAAAAACGTTCTTTTCAGATTTTATATATGCCCAAAGGGGCGTTTTTTAACGTTTTCATCGTTACCTTTATTTATTAAATATCATGTTCTCCACACTTAAACCATAAAATTAAATTCAACAGCGATACCTCAAAATAAACCAAAAAGAGCCTTATCTTTAGAATTTCTGATACAGTCTCATGCACTGGAGATAAAAAAGTTTTTTTTTTTTTTTTTTTTTTTTTTTGTACGTTGTTGCCATTGCTCGCTTTGAAACCGATGAGTTTGTTAGTCAAAAATTTAAAGTTTTACAAAATATGAAATAGATAATAAAGCAAATTGTAAACTCCAAATTTGGGCTTTCAGATGCCTATATTCAAGTGAAGGACTACTTTATTCAAAGTTTGATGTCTCTAGTTACCGTTGTTATATCACAATGCGAGACACATACATACATTCATGCAGATTCCTTATTATTTAATTTCTTTAACTATAATGCAGGGCTCTAATATTTCGTGGCAACAATTCAAAAAGTGAAACACTGTTTATAGTGAGCCAACACAAAATACCAAAACGAAAATAATAGCCCTTCTGGGCAATTTGCTGCTTTGGGCTAATAACAGAATAAAATAAATTATTTGGCACCGAATGAATTTTTTATCTGCATATTTAAAAACTACCCTTTAGATAATTTTAAATAACAATAATTTAAATTGCTAGATGGCTAAGAAAATAAAATTTATCACATTTAAAGCATCACAGTTGGCATGCTCTCTACATTATTATTATTATTTTTTTTTTTTAAAGAGAGATCTTAATATTTTTGCTATATTTATTGAGGCAACTGAAATTTGAAATTAATGTAAAAAACAATCACTTAAAATTATTTTACTGTGTTTCTTTGGTCCGAAACGAAAGGGCCTTCTTCTTCTTTAGTGACATTAAGCTTGATAGCTAGAGGGAAAGTGGGACTGGATACGGAGAGCTATTCAAAGCTGTAATAGAAACAAAAGCTTTAAGACTTGAAAGTGTGCCCTAACCTTCAAAGTATTTTTTCGCTACTTGTTAGCTGAGGAAGGGTGATTTTTCTTGATCTTACTTCTAAATGAAAAATCGTAGATTTTCTGTTCATTTCTTTTGTTAATCACATGAATATTTTGGGAAGTTGGCAAGCAATATTTTAAAAACTTAAGCCTTATCTATTGAAATTTAATTAGTGCTTTTTTTTTTTTTTTTTTTTTTTTTAAGTATAGGTAGTTGTGAAGGGGGAGGGTGCCCGGGTGCCCAGGGCACCCCCCTGGCTACGTGCATGATACATGTTACATTTGATAGTCATTATATATATGTAATGATTTAATGATCTTCTTTAACGGGATGATAATTATTTAGCCTATAAGAAATAATTTTTTGCAGTACTGTGTCCTTTTATAAAAGATACTTTAAGGTGATTTCAAAAGAATTGGAAAAGTCATTTAGCTATAATTCATAATGCAAATATTTTATTAACATTTTGCTATAGTATTGAACTTTGATGAGCTCAAATGGAAAGGACATGAAAATTATTTTGATTAATAGAAAACTGTGTAATTTTGCCTGTAAAGGCATCCATATCAAATCTGATCTTTTTAAAATACTTTTTAAATCTATTTAATTATTAAATACTTCAGTGGATAGTCATCCAGTGTAAAATTTCTTTTGACTCAAACTCAGATATCTACTTATGCAACAAAGCAATTCACTTTGTTGCATTAGTAAAAAAAGTTTCCAGAAAATCAAGTTTGATATAATAGTTTATCTTCTGTGTTTTTCTGATTTCATCCTTTCCCTTTCCAATTGTCATTTGTTTCAGGCACTCAGAAATCAGCATTTTACAGGCTGGCTACATGGTCATTTTCATGGTTCTTCCCATGTGTAATGTGTATATTAGCCAATTTCTCTTAGAAGTCCTCCGTGAAGGCACTTTCCTTAGGCAGATAGCCTTTGCTTTGCCATAATCAAATAAAGAAGAAAGTAGCACTATTGATCCTCAGATCAAAGGAAGAGATTCATGCTCTACTCAGTTGAAAATATACATTTAAAAATTATGAACTAAGGGTATTCACAAGCATGAGAATTACGTTGAAATATACTGTAAATGTCATTTTTATTAAAATTGTAGCTTATGGCCACATTGAGAGGGACTTTTTTTTTTGTTTGTGTAAATATACTTCAGTGGATTGTCATCCAGTGTAAAATTTCTTTTGACTCAGGCTGTATACTTTCTTGGAGTGATATGTCCAGTTAAAGAGTGTTCCAATATCCTGTTCCTTTTTGTTGGTTTACTGAGGGTAAAGACATTTGTGGTTTGGTTCATTTAAATGTTAAATCTCTTGAATAATTAAAGGAACGTCTTCTTCTCATCACTGGTATTAATTTTAGCAAGTAGACAGCAAATGCAATATTTCTTTTTTTTTTTTTTTTTTTTTTTTGGGTATTATATGGAATAACTTTGTTGGGAGTTTTTGACATTGGCTTACGAATTTAAATGAAAGATGCATTCCATGTTTGAAAAGCTTATACTAATTTTCAATCAGTTGAATCTTCAAGAAGAAAGAAGGAAAAAAGAAACTAGCCATGTCTTATCATTTTTCACCACTGCAACCTAATCAACTGTTAGCCATATATGGTTATAAAAATATAGTATACATATCATTTTATATACATTCAAAATGAGTTTTGGCTCAAAGAGAAATACTGATGAAAACATTGTTAACAATTTAAAGCCATTAATGTGGAAAAAAGCATTTAAAAATGGAATTGTTATTTTATCTCTGAGAAAGGCCATAAAGACATGGACCTTATAAGAAATAGACTAACCCAAACGGGTTTTCTCCCTCGTCTGAGGCATTGCCGGCTGTCACCTTGATCACATCCAGAGGAGTAGGGACGACTTGCAGAAATTTAACATTGGTTGCCTATTGCAGCGTGTATAATTGTCAAGAAAAAGCTCGTTGTAGCTGCTCATTTCGCAAATTAGAATTTCTACATATTTTTATTTTTGAAATTGAGATTGATTTTTAAAAATTTAGCATATTTATCAAGCATAAATAACATTCCAGATAATTATAAAGCTATTGCATGCTTTCAGGACTGGATATTTTTTTAGCTTTTCCTATGCTGTAAGGAAATTTGTAACTACTACTTTTAGAAAATATTTTAAATCTGAACTAATAGAAAATTTCAAACAACCAGTTTTCTCTTGTAATTTTTATGCTTTTTATTGGTGTAAATAAGTAAAAAGTACTAAAATATTTAAAAACCGCAAATGATTTTGCGGTTTTGCAGCTGAGGATGGTGGTTTGGTAAAACCATCGAAACTAGTCCTGTGAAAATTTTGTAAATATAACACTGATTTTTGTTGTTTGACTTCTGAATTAACTTTTAATTAATTTTAAAACAAAAATATTGAATTACGCATTTAGTATGTTTGTAAGGTAATAATTATAAATACCATAATGAAATGCAATATATCCACAATTATGTTACATAATTTTATCATTAATAAAACTCATAATATAATTATTATTTAAATAAAGGTAACTGCCATTAACACAATATATTTGTCACATAATAATCATACATATACTTGAACATGCTGTAATAGATAGAACTGTATAGCCATAGGAATCATAACGGGCACCTCACCCCCACCCCCCGTAATTTGAGCTGAGCCCATGTTTATTAATCTTGCATATTATGCAAGTATAATTTCAAACTGCAATATAAACCACTTAATATGATTGAGTCAAAGTTTATAATTTCTGACAATAAAAAAGAGTTTCATTCATAGCAGAACAAGAAATTCCTGCTGGCAAGGCTACCTTCAGGTGGGAGATAGAAAGCTGACTGAAATTTATTGTGGGAAAAAAAAAAAAAAAAAAAAAAAAAAAAAAAACCATTTACACATACATGTTTGCCTTATCATGAAATAAATCCAGATGAGAGTTCTACATTCAGTAAATAGCTTAGTCATCAATAAACTTTAATATAATTAAATTATAAATAAAATTCATTTTAATGTAAAAATTAATTAAGAGCCTAATAAACTGCTCATAAAGAAATTATGATTAGAAACTAAACTTTTAGCTAATTAAGCATAGTTAATTAATAAATCACTGATCAGATAAACATGAAATGCAGCTTTGAATCCTTTACGTGTAATATATAAATAAGACATGCAGCAAAAATATTAGTAAGAAAAATAAAAAGTAGCTGCAAAGCAAAAAAGAAAAAAAAAAGGGGGGCGATGAAAACAAATAAAAAGAATTTTTTGTAAATATATATTGAGGAAAAAATTATTAGTTTGACACATTAAAAAAATTTACAATGAGTAAATGATATATACTGAGATGACTTAATGAAAAAAAATTTATTAACACTATCATTATATTAAAAAAAGACACATTTCTTAAAAATTAGATTACAAAAAATAAAATATATATATATATAACATTCCAATACCTGCTTTGTATCAGACTTTCCAAATGTTCTTATATATGTCTCATATTTCATAGGAGGAATATTTATCACCTCAAAAGACATAACATCTGGTGTTATAATTTCCAGTAAGTCTGATGCCCGTTTCCTGAAATATTAATGATTAAATAATTATTTTATAACATGATTATACCTGTTAAAGATTCAAATAATACAAAATTACAAAGTTCATACTTGATGTAGCATAAGAAGTATAATTCAACATAATATTTAAAAGGATATTTATTTTAAATTTATTTAACTTATTTATTCTAATTTATTTGACTATGGTTATCATTGCCTTTTAATTCCATTCCCAATAAAAAACTGCAGAGGATATCTGGTTTATTTTGATCCACTAACATGTTATTTCTGGCTTCTGTTTTGCATTTCACATAACTTCATTTTCCTTTTAATTTATATCTAAATTTATTTTTATTATTATTTATTAGTATTTACACTATTTGATCTTTTGATCCACCTACTCTAGATAAAGGAAATTCAGTACATTAAATATTTCATTTTTTGCTCATTTAGCAAGATGTGCATGTAACTCGCTCTCTCTGCATATATAATCCATGCACATATATACATTATATATACATTAAATATATAAAGAAACCTAATAAGAGCAAAAATTAAAAACAAATTTTTTATACCTGTCCTGCACTACAGATGCAAGATTACAGTAAAATAAACTTAAAGCCTTTAAAGTTGAAACATGTTTTTGAAGCATATTAATCGACTTTTGTGAAGCTTTAATTCATTTTCCCCAAATGAGTTCTGAATTGGAGTTTCAGTAAAAGGAGATTAATTTTTATATTTTTATCTTGTATATTTTTCCCTTTTGCATTTTAAGTTTTCGAGTTTGCACTACTATGATCCTTTTTTTAATTTCGAATTGTTAGATATTGTGTTGAACCTCTTTTACAAGGATGCAATTATTAATATTGCTGAGGAATTGCCTTGCTTTGACTCCAATTTACTTTTAACTTTAGAAGCTTTAAATTCATGATATACACATATATATTATCAGAAAGAGATAAACTACATAAAATTAATATCAACCAAAAGCTATAAACTACCTAAAAGGAGAGCACAAAGTAAAAACAACTTAAATTAAAAACTTGGAAAACAAAACTGAATTAAAAGAAAATTAATACAAAAAAATGATTGTTATTATTAAATAAATATTAAATAACAGTTGAAAATTGATTGATCTTTGTCAAAGATCAGCTGAAAGAATAATCAGCAGAACCATGTTTCTGAATTATATCTGGATAATTGCAAAAGAAATAATCAATTGAAATTCTTTTTCAAATTTAAAATAAAACTAATTTAAATGAGAATATATTTATATAAAATTTTAGAAAAGAAATCTTTAAAGAAATCTTTAAAAAGATTTCTTTTTTGCTGATTTGCATTAAATTATGTTTCCCTGTTTTGGATTTGAATATTGACTATTTTCTTAAAGTAAATTGAAATTTAATTTTTAGAAATTTAAATTGCATTTTGCTTTTCACTACTGAATTTTCTTCAATTTCCCCATGTGCAAAGCTTAGGTCATTTTGCCTTTTCTGTATATTTGTAATTTTGATTTTTTTCAATTGTCTTTTTCTAAGTATTTGTTTAATTCTACCTCTCTGGTATTCAAAGTTAAAACTTTAAAAAAAAAATTTCCCTTGTTTTTAATTTTTCAGTTATTGTCTTTCTCCTATTTTAATTTTTTTTTTTTTTTTGGCATATTATACATATATTTTCATTGGAGTCACAAAGATGAAGGTTATTCCTTAATGATTGCTTTTTCTAAATTAAAAAAAAAAAAAAAAAATCTTTAAATTTGAATGAATGTAGTCTCATTTAATTACTTTTATTTTAAATTTAAAAAAGAATTTCATTTAATTATTTTCTTTTGGAACTAATCCAGATATAATTTATAAATATTTTATTAAATAAATGTGGCTTTTCTAATAATGCTTCAATACTAACTGAGGAAGATCAAAGAATTGACATCTGTTATTTAATTATTATTGTTTTGTTTTTGTATTAATTTGCTTTTATTTCAGTTTTCTTTTCAAAGTAAATTGTTTTTATTATATTAAGTACCTTTCTGTTATGCAATGTACCACTCTTGCTTGATATTAATTCTACATATTTGATTTATTTCTTTTTAATTAAATAATTTTTCAGCATTCTGTGAGACATTAATAGTATTTATTAATTAAATATTCTTTAATTTTCTATTTGTGCATAAATATTATATACATGCATACATATGCATATAAATATATTTACAGTAAGATTATACTTTAAAAACTAAGTGAAGAAAACCATTTTTTTCCATGTTTATGGAAATATGAAAGCAATCTGCAAATCTGGCAACAGTCTTTTTATTTCTTATTTTAATTTGGCTACTTCTCATTCCTGTCCTAAGACTAGTAACCATTCAGAACATATCAATCTAAAGCACGCCATTACAAAAGTCAATCCACATCATGCTTTGTTATGCAATCCTACAATGTGGACACCTCTTATCCAAGATACCTTTTGACTCTCTGATGCTCTTCTGAATGTGTTCTTACTTTCCACTTTGCCTAGCTGCTGCTAACATGTGTCACTCGATTCTCTGTATAAGCAACTGTCTAATGATGTGATAAATTATATAAAATTTTGGGGTGCATATTGTACCCATAATAATGTGTGAATTAGAATATGAACCTCAAGAATAAGTTGTTCAAAATTATGCGATGTTTCTATTACCACGTTTAAATGCAAGTCTCGCCTTCATTAAGCATCATTCAAACTACACAGTAAAACAACTGCTTAAATCTATTACAGCTACTGCCCAATGGTCAAGATACTACAGATATATTGCAGCTTTAGTGCAAGCATTAGGCAATTTATTACTTATTATTACCTTACATATATATTCTGAATTTAATATGAATCCATCAACTAAAATCTGGTTTCTAAAAAATGTTTCTATCTTCCTTAATTAATCAGAAGTAAGAAATATTCATTCAGTAATTTGCAGTTCTAAAAATTAAGGATTCTACACCTAAGTTTTTAGGGAACATCTGTGATCTGAGGTTCCACTATACTTTTAATCTGATTCATAACATGCAGTATTAATTTAATTTTCCTGTTATTGCAAAACTAAAAATATAATAATATTCTTCATAACAGCACTATCTACCTTATCAAAATTCATTATTATGATCAAAATTTATGATTTTCTTTTTTAATTTAGTAAGATTCCAAGTACATTTAATCTCTGATGTAATTATCAATAAAAATGATATTTAAAACTTTAATAAATTTCATACTTTTATAGACTTATTACTAAAAAATTAACAACAAAATTCAAAAGTTGAATAAATACTTACATAACTTTACTGCTGAAATTTTTCTTTTTTTCTTGTTCAACTGCTGAGGCAAAATTGATAAAAGACCGAGAAACTTTAATAGGCCTTACATCTGCCATGGGAATAGATTCTTTATTAGGAAAAAGAGAGGTGCGATCACTCATATTTAAGAATGTCTTCTCAACCTATAAAAAAAATTACTACTACTAAAATACTTACAGTTTTTTTAATCACCTTATTAAATCTGAAATGTGGTGACTACTTGAAAATTAAAAATTAAAAATAAGGAATTTCAGAATCCTCCAGGATTGCAGCTCATTCATAGATGCTCATTTAACATCATAATTGAGCATTTAAAGGGCTCTTGAAAGATTTTTATTAATAAAAACCTTTCATATGTATTAATAATGTATTAATAGTAAATATAAATTAATATATATGTAAGTATGTATATTACATACATTATCATTATTTTTTATATGTATATTATTAATTAATCTATATGTAAATATGTATTAATAGTACCATATCCAAATATATCCTGCCTCACACATTTTCTTCGCTTTCATAAAATTAATTCATGTGCATTACAATTTTTTGAACAGCATGAAGTACATTGGAAAATATCGAAATTTGAAGATAGAAAAAAGAATATGATGTATGAAGAAATTAATTACCATTGTTATCTTATTTAGATTTTCATTACTGAATTTACCTTATTAAATTACAATAAGTTTTTTCAATTTCAGCTTAAATTTTTGACATTTTTTCCTATAAATTTATAATGACATTAAAAATAGCTTTAGTAACATAATTTTAATTTTCGTATGTTCATCATATATAGTTTTTAGCAATTATTCCCTCTCCCTAACAACCAGTGAATTAGAATTTGGAAGTGAAAAAATTTGTTCCCAAAGATAAATTTTGAACCAAAATTGAATCAGTCCCTCTAATTAGTTAAACATATTACTTCCATATGCAAAACCTTTCTGAAAAGTGTTGCTTTTGAGTGATCGAATCGTATTGGACTGAATTTTCTTATTACATTGAAGTTTTAGAATTTTATTCATGAAAATTCTTTTTCACACAAGATTTAACTCCCATTTTAGATGACATTGTGATGAGAAATTTTTAGTCTGATTCTCTGCAAATTTAATCATCTTAAACTACTGTAATTATAGGAATTATTTCTATACTTATTTGTAACAATAGTAACAAATGTCAATTTCAGCAACAGGTAAATGGGTTCATTTTTAAAAAAATACATTTAGAAAGTATTTTAAAAGAAATAAGGTATTGCATTGCTACCATTACAATAAAATTCTACTTGAATAAATCCATATTATTTCAAATACTTGTTGTATGTGATTAGAAAAAATGTCAGGTAATGATTAATTTCAAATTTTTAATATTCATATATTAATATAATAACTCAATACATTATTAAGCAATATAATGGAGTACAATAAAAATTTAAAAAAATGATGCAGTTGAGAGAAAATTTACAATTAAATATATACTAAAAAAGAAAAAAAGAAAATACATGTGTGATCAGTAAACAACTTAGCTTTTAAAACATTACAATTATCTTATATTAAATGTACATTTCCAATTTCTATAGTTGTTAGTAGGGGAAAAAATCATCTAATTAATTCATTGTATCTTTTATGTGCACGGACTTCAATTGACATGCAGCTTTAATTTAAAAAAGATTTCAGCTCTCAATTTCATAAAAAGGCAGCACACATTTTGAGAGAATCTGAGACATGTCTCTCTTTTTAGATGCATTTTGCCCTTGAACAAAGTGTGCAAATGATTAAATATATGGCATAAAGAAACACAATATACTTAACATTCAACTTGTGAATATACGAGGGCAGATCAAAAAGGAAGTTGCATTTCCAAGTTATGACCATTTATTAAATTGTCAATACAAAAGCAGCACGGCTATGACAGCATACAATCTAAGTTCACTTTTCCACATAGTTCCCAAGAGACTCTAAACATTTCTTCGAACGGACAACCAACTTTTTGATTCCGGATACATAGAAATCTACTCCAGCAATATATAAACATACGGAGACAGCTGCTTTCACCTCCTCATCATTTTGGAATCGAAAACATGAAAGTCACATGGACAAATATTGGGAATATCGGATGAATATTGTGGACGAATATCACGAAGGAGAGTGGTGCAAAGATCTCCCACTCTTTTGCCCTACCACTAACCATTCAAAAGAACTTTTGGCTCGCTGTGTATTTTGAGTGCCTCCTTGCAGCACAGACACTATACTCTTACAAACATTCATGCCATCTCCAGGATTCGAACCCAGGTCCATTGGTATGTCAGTCTGCATCACTAACCACTATACAGTCTGGATGAAAGGGTGTCTAGGTACAATGTGAATATTACCCCCACACTGCATGAGATTACTATTTGTAAACATAAACTTACCCTAATTTTTGCAGGCACCTATCTCGTTTCCATTCAGAAACATCATGCATCTAGCGAACATTCATGTGCATTCTTAACATGTAGTTTAGTTATAAAAGTTTGCAAACACTTTATTTCTATAGGAATGTAATCAATGACATAGCAGCCAGAGTAATTAAATTTTGTGCATTATATTTGCATTATATTTGATTTTTATTGCTTTAAAAATGATTTTAGTATTAAATATAAGTGGTAGCTATAGAAAGAAATAAGAAAAAGACAATTTTATCCACAATTAACTCTCTAGGTTAGGGTTTCTTAAACTGTGGTTCGCGACCCCCAAGCGGCTCGCATGACATACAGCAGGGGGTCGGCAAAAATTTTAGCAGTTGTGATATTTCTTTTACATATTATAATAGTTTTACAATTACCAAATATTTTTACACAATGTATCTGAAAATAGATAAAGATAAGGCAATACAGACAATGAAAAATACGAAAACGTTTCGACGCATTCTTTTTATAATATAAACGTTCATTTTCTCTGCTTTGCACGTGACGCTGTCATTTCATCTGTTACTTATTTAAAATCTTCACATTGTTCTATGACTTAAAATCAGAAATTAAAATGAATGACCTAAAGCTGTAATAGTATATTACAGTACAAGTGAAAAAAAGTGACAGTTTCACTCACACGTGTATCAGATTTGCACAATACTTATGGGGTCACACAAAATTTTTGTAAATATTATGGGGTCCTGGGAGTCACGAAAAAATCTCAGTGATAAAAAGGGGTCGCAACTGAAAAAAGTTTCAGAAACCCTGCTCTAGGTAAATAAAATTCTTTGCTCCTACTTAGTATGCTTTCTGTCAGTCTGGTGGTGCACCTATATAAAATAGCTGACTACATTGCTCAAGCATTTCACACTGATTCTGTAGTTTTATGCATTGTTTGTGAGTTTTAAATAATAACACACAATAAAATGAACAATGAAAAGTTTATATTGTGGAAAAATTAGGTCAATTAGTGGAATTAACTGAAGAAATATGGTTTTCAATACAAGTGCCTAGAGACAGGGAAGATGAAAATGGGAATAATGACTAAATTTATCACTGTGGAAACAAATTCACAAGAACAAGCAGGGATACAGTAAATTGCATTGCTTTTGAACTGAATGTCATTATTCTAAAAAGGTCTTCAATTGAACAGACTCTGCTAGACCAATGCACGATGATGGTAACAGCAGAATGCCACGACGACTGGGACCTCAAATGAAATTCTTATTTGAGGCATACTAAGATTGTCCATTAAAAATAAGGCATCAAAGAAAGTACAAGATATATTATAGAAGAAAGGAGAAGATGAAGTATATGGAACAACTGTTTGTTGGAAGAGAAGGTGTACCTAATGAGATAATAGTCAAGGAAACTCCCTTTTATCAATAAAATTTTAGATGCATAAAACCGATTTTAAAATCCAATTCTTGTTTGCAGTTCTGTTGTACAAGTGATAATAGTGAAAACTGAATACCACTGAATGCATACTACTCCCAAAATAAAGAAAGAAAATAATTTTGAAAAGAACTTTTCTCTGTCTCTAAGAGGTCTTTTAAACAGCATATATTATTTTAGTGCTAAAATAAATATTTATTTAATGTAGGTTAAAAGTAACTTTTTTCTCGGGGTACTTTTCCGTTTCGCCGACGCAAATCTGGCCAAGTAGACTTTGTTGGCGACAACATACAGTATACACATAAAAAATTTTAATTCTAAGAATTTTTTTTTTTTTTTTTTAAATTTTGAAGGCATAAACATTTTAATATGGTTTAAAATTTTGTAAAGAGCCAATAAATAAAGACAATAAATTTGTAAAAAGACATTAATTTAAGAATTTTCTATGATTTCATGGTTCAAAATCCTGATTCGCCGGTTCGTATCACGTGACCCCAAGTGATCTCATCTCACGTAAACTACGCTACTAAAATCTAATTCTCTCAGTAATTATCTACATTAATTTCAAGTTAAATCTTAATTTGGAATACAAGTTTAAATGCAAGAATTATATCAATTCGTACGAATAGCTTACTCAGAAATTATGTAAAACCGCAGTGCTTTACTTCTCTAGTGCATTCTCATTAGAATTGATGAATTTAACGCTTTATTTCGCCTTCGGATGAGCGGTGTATTGCGTTCTAATTGACTTAATTACCGTGAATTGTCTTAGGGGATAAAATTTAAATATCGTGTAAAAATTCTATACTATTGTATGCCAGTATTGAAAGAAACAATCTGATAAGAAATGGCTTCAACTTGTTTTGAAACTGAGGCGTAAAAGGTTACCAGCAAAGATATTCCGTCTCGCATCAGTTAAACCATTATTGGCGACTTTATCGTTTGCGCCGGCAAAACGGAAAAGTACCTTTCTCGGATACAGCTTTCATATAATATATAATGTAAATTTTTTCTATATTTGGGTTAAAAAAGACACAACACAAAGAATACTTTAAGAATATCCTAAACTACAGGTTCAGACCAATCAAAATTATTATATAAATGTATGAATATAAAACAAATCATTTAGCTAGATAGAAAGGTATTGTTTGTAAAAGTTATGTAATCTGCAAGTTTTCTAATGAACATAAATTGCTAGAAATTACTAAAAATTCAAGTTTTCATAACCTTTCTCACTGGACCTTTTGATGTATCCACAACAGATAATTTAGGGTCAACAAAATTTCCTATTAGATTATTTGTCTCTCCATCTGAATGTAATGTGTCAGAATCTTCCTCATCTTCAAGGCTGTCATTTTCATTTTCACTCTCAGGTACAGAATCAGTAACACTGTCTTCAAAATCAGAATCATAGTCCTGAAAATTAAATACTTGTAATTCAGAACTATATATATATATATATATATATATATATATATATAATATTAGAATAATACAAAACAAGTTTTTGACCCAGTATTAAAACCATAAACTAACTTCAAAATCTTCTTCATAAGATGCTTTTTCATCATCTGATTCAGCATCCAAACTGTCCTGCAAATAACAATTTTATTACAATATGCAATAGATTTTACATAAGTTTAAATACATTATTCAGTATTAAAAATCAAAATTACTCATTAAACTTAATATATATTACTTACATATTAGCACAATCACATTGGATAAATTTCGGAATTTTTTAAGAAAAGAAAAATACGATAATTTATAACTGTAAAACAAATTATTTATTACATACATATTTTGCACTCTAATTTAAAGTTTTCCCTAAAAATCAATCAATAAACCTCTTACAAGAAAGCTTTTGTTTCTTTTGTTCTGGTAGAAATTTCATAGCAATAGTTGAGAATATATGGAAAGCAAATTCGTTTTACTGATTTTGCAGCAAAATAAATATTCCTGCATTTTTTTTTTACATTGCAGGCAAATGCATATTTTAAAATTGCGTTCTACACAAAATATATCATGATTTGTCAATAAATACCACTGGAATTTGGAATACAACAAAAAGATCATATATGATAAATAGTGATGTTATAAAGTATTTTCTCCCTCCTTTATTGCATGTCTTCATGGTATAACTGGACAGCCCATCCAACTAGCGCCAGGAGGTCAGAAATTCAAATCGCAGTGAGGGCATTGCATATTTTTTGTCTTCCCCTCCAAAATAATAATAAAAAAAAAAAAGTTCTAATTGCCTCTATAATGGTGCCTGAACTGAAAAGTGGTGGACAATAATTCATCACTGCCAGTAATTTGGCAACCGGATCCCTTCTTTCCCAGTTGCCTTATAAGAGGGGAAAAGGTAAGGTATTTTCTCCCCTTTCACCACATGCCTACGTTGTGTAATTGGAAAGCATGCCAATTAGAATCAGGAGGTTTGAAGTTCAACTCCCAGTAGGATTTTCACATCTCTTTCTCCAAAATTTAAAAATGCTTCATTGTCTCCACATTATTATTTGTTAAATATGAAGAATTATAACTTCATGGCTGTTTGAACAACTATTTTCCTTATAGATGCCAGATTTTAGCCCATTCTGAAAATTTGGCCGCAGCTACTAAGGCGGTTGCATATCATACACAAGAATTTAATAGTTGATATTAATTTTAAATAAATAAATTGAAATGCATTTAAAATACTTTCTTATTAAAAAAATGTGTCATGAAATTAGACAAAAAAATCAAACTCATATTAGGAGTGGTTTATTAGAAAGCTCTATTAATTTTGAAAATGTCATGCATACGGTCCCTCTTCTTCAAGGAGCAAAAATATTTCATAAGCAGAGAGAAAAATCAAAATAAATGGAAAAAATAACCATCTACTGGACAAAATGGGGATGAAAATAAAAAAATAAAAGTATGTTATTAGGATTTTAAACATTTCAAGAAAAAGTGGATTGGAATTAATATCATTAACTAAAGTAGACGGACTTTTGTAAAAAAATAAAGGTTCAAAGAACTCTTAGTTCATTAACTGAAGAAGGTTTTTTCCTATTTAATCGAATGATAAACAAACTAGTGACTAACTTCGATTAGCTGTTGAAGATTTACTCATTTTAATTTTTCTGTCAGATTCATGAAACTTTAACATTCTGTTAGTTTGACTAGTATATATTACACTACATTGACAATAAATGTTATGAATTTAAAAAAATAAACCTGAAAAAGGGTCTTTAAGAACTGAAGAATAAGAAATGAAAATAATTTAAAAGCTGAATTTGTGGAGAATTCAAACAATTTTGTAACTAACACAGCTGATAAAAAATGAAATAGTAATAACATTACAATAGTTATTTTTGATAAGAGAATCTTTTAATACAAGTAAGAAGAAGATGGCAAAAGCTTTATTAGTGACAGTAGGAGGGAAAACCTTTATAGATAGTAACCAACTTCGAATAGGAGTTTCTGAATGAGAAGCTTCACCTTGATTATGTTATATACATAAAAGTAAGCAAAGTTTTTTTTTTTTCTTTGTTTATTAAAACAACAAGATTGGGCATGGAAAGAGAAGGAAACAGAAAAAATTCTATCATAAATTGTATGACTGAAATCAAATTTATTATGAGTAATTAGAATGTTAAGAAAAGGAAGGGAGCTAAAAGATCTAGTTTCAAGCTGCATATTGAAAGGTTGCATCAATCAAGACATAAGAAATGACTTGTTTATTAAATTCTCTTTCATAAAAAAATACAAAACTGTGATGAGTACAGTGGCCTTAGAATGGGGGGGGGGGACATTAAATAATTTAGGTGCTTACATATAAACTGCAACAAATTTACTGCAGTTTCATGATTTTTTACAGAACGGAAAAAAATGACGAGTTTGTAGCACTAATATAACTGCAAAAAATTATTTACTACACATACATATTTTATATTTTAATTAGGCATTTATTCTGAAAATCAATCAATGAACCCACTCACAAGCAAGTTTTTGTTTCTTTTGTTCTGATGGAAATTCTGTGATGATCACTTTAAAAATAGATTCAGAGAAATTTTGCAGAAAATACCATATCACTGCAGAAATTTTAATGCAGTTTCTCCCACTGCATATAATTCTCACATGCAAATATTTTTAAATTACATTCAAAATTAAAAATATCATGATTTACCTATAAAAACCATTAAAACTTGTAATACAACAAAAAGAATGCATATGAAAATGGCCATGTTTCTTGTTAAAACTGCTGACTTGTTATGAATATGATTGTACTGTTTGGCATAGTCTTTCAAAATTTGGTTTCATCTATTAAGATAGTTGCAATAATATGCATGTGCTATAATTTAATCTTAGTGCATGTAAATTTTAACAATTACTGAAGTAAGGATGTTTCTCATTAGTAATCTGGGGCCCACCAGCGGCCGAGCGGTAAAGTCGCTGAACACTGGTAGTTCGGTCCGAGGTTCGAATCCCGCGAACGGGCTGGCTGCATGGGCGTTTTCGTGGTTTTCCCCATGTGTAACGTGTATACGAGCCAGTTTCCCTTAGAAAGTCCTCCACGAAGGCATCCCTCCCCTTAGGCAGATAGCCCTAGTGGGCTTTGCCATAATTAAATAAACCAATAAAAACCAAACATTAGTAATCTTTTAATTTGATAGCTGCCCTAGTTTAGTAAAATAAAGAAAGTCTCATTTTGAGAAAATTTAGTGGTACTTACGTATTATCCACTCAATTGTGAAAGTTGTCCTACCAAATTATCATCAATCCTATCAAAACTTCACCTATCACTCCTATTGAATTCTGAAGGAACTGACACCTCTTTATTTAATGAACAATAAGTATTCAGTCCAGTTCATTTCTGTGCTTTGTAAAAAAGATTTTGCCAGTTTCTACTATTTTATTAGGCCTGCTGATTTTAATGGAAGCTGTCTTAGAACACTGCGAATATGAACTTCCTGCAGGTAATTTTTCTAGCCTATTACTGTTTCATTGGCTATATACAGCTCATCATATTGTGTTCATTAATATGCACTTTTTTAATGAACACTTGGTAGGATTAAATAATTTTGAAAATGATTCCACTACTTATTGTTCTGTAGAAGGCAGGTAACAAATTTAATCTTTTTTCTTTTTTCCAAAACGCAAGAAAAATACAGTGATAAAAGTTAATTTCCATTCTTATTCAAACATGCTGGCCACTAAATTTACTACACCATGAAGGCCCCCATGCAATAAATGAAAAATTTGCATGAAAAGTACCATATGCTGCGATATGCAAATGATTAACATTCCAAAGCACATACACAAAGCAGTTATGAGTAATGCTATCTCAAATTGAGTATAAATGGTACAGTCAAAAGTCGTTAATTCGGACACCCATAACCTGGAATGATCTATGATCCGGACCTCAAAGCTAAAAACTTTCTGCGCATGCGCCGCTTTGACGCATGCACATAGGCGTTTAAGCGTGCACGTAAGACCTTTACGACTACGCATTTGCGTGTGCAAAAGCGCAGAATACGTTTTCGCTGCACGTTTAATGTATAACGGACGGTATAAGCTAAAATTATCTAATTGTCTATTTCAGTTAATGTTGATGATTGCGTTGTTCCTTAACCTCCAAATTGGATCCGGCTTATTATATTTTGCAGACTGTAAGAGCAATTTTATAAAAGTAAGCTTGAACTTTCGATTATGTCAAATAGAATTTCCGATGCTGGAGCTCCCAAAGGATCTACGAAAACGAAAGTATGTTTCGATGTCCATCAAACAAAAAGTGGAATTGCTCCAAAAAATGGATAAAGGCATATCCTTTGTTTATCTAACCGTTCCGAAATCCGTTTATCAATTTCATGCTGCTCTGCGGGGGGGGGGGGGGGGGACGTCGTGGCGCGCAGTGAACTGGAAGTTGATCTGTCAACACTATTGTTATCTTCAGTGCAGATGTTTTTATTTTATTCGGCTTATAATTCCTTATTAAATGTAGCATTTCATCTCGATGTACTTCTTCTTTGATATGATTTAAATCAAATTCCTCGTCATTATAAATATCACGAATACAAATCAAATAGTTTTCTGGTTGCAATTTTCTAATTTCGGCTATGCATAATGTATGCTTTACGCATGCGCACGTTGAAAGAAATGTTTAATAAAGTAAACAAATAAATATTAAGCTATTTTTTTGTCAATTTTGATACCCTTTAGATCATAATTGCTCATTATTTTATAAATTACGGCTTCATAATTTTAATTTTATAATTTCTGCATGCCATCTTACCAGATTTAAACTGATGATCTATAATCCGGAAAAATCGATAATCCGGAATCGCCGAAGTCCCGACGAGTCCGGATTAAAGACTTTTGACTGTATTACTATATAGCTTATTGTGTATAAATGGGAAGATTGCATAGTGATTTTTTCCATTTGGAAACCACATTTTAATGCTGGTTGTTTGTATAAATGTCATGTTATGCATCATGTAAGGAGGAGAAACTCCCACCAGTATGCTTTCAAATTTGACTGCAGTAGGATCATGGCCAACGGGACTGGTTTATCATTCTGCAACATTGCTGGTTGGGATCCCATGATTATCAGATGAGTACGGAATGGACGGGTCCCTGAATGCAATACAGGATCTCAGCGGGCCTGAGCCACTAGCCTAAGAGGACATACATATCATTCTCTCAGCCTTGTGGGATTATATAGCTTTGTCATGTCCTGAGTCAATAACTTGGCTCACATGCAGGATGACAAGTGTCTGCATGGACAGTGCAATGATGTCTGCAGCATCAATAGACTGTCAACATGACAACCATTGTTGTGGCTTCCCTTGACATTGCAGCACAAATATGCATGTTTAAAGTGGAACAAAAAATGTCACTGGACACAGAAGTGGCATTACATGATCTTTTCAGATGAATCCAAGTTCTGTGTGCAGCATCATGGTCATATCTTTATGTGGAGGCATTGAGAAGAATGCCTTTAATATTGCAAGCCAGCATTTGTCGTCATCATATGGGTCCAGCTTCTGGCATGCTAGTACGAGATGTAATCCTTATCACCTCTTTTCTGCTTAGCCAATAATGTGAATAGCAACTGCTACATTTCTGATGTGTTAAGGCCTATGGCTGTGCTTTATCTTCAAAGCCAGCATGATGCTAACTTTCAACAAAATAACACCCGACTGTTTGCCCATGCTATCCTAGCCTTCTTTGATACAGAGAGTGTTCAAATAATGCCTTGTCAAGCATGTTCTCATTGGGAACATCTAGTCTTAGATTGCCGACAGACTGGCATAGCACCACTCATAAGCCACTTTGACTGATGAACTTTCATATAAAGCCACATGGAATGAAGTACTCCTATCTGTCATCCAAGCTAAGTTGAACTTGATGCCCAGCTGCATTACAGCAATTGTTGCTGCCAAAGGTGACAGCTCTGTGTACTGAATTCTGCCTGCTGTGTACTCCAAAGTATCAGCAAAATTAATCATGTCATCCTCCTATTATACTGTATACATATAATAAATAAAGTTCTGCTATTTGCTTTCCTTCTTGGTGTAACAATTTTAATTGGTAGCAGTGCAAAAACAAATGGTGGCTTATCAAAAAAGTCAGAGTTACATGAAACAAAAACCTCAGATATTAGGAATGGTCTATTATGTTATATTAGGAATGGTTTATGAATTGTGTGTTATATTGTATATACTAAATTTTGAAATGGAATAGAAGAAAACTTATTTACTTTTTAAACAACACACACACACACACACACACAAAAAAAAAAAAAAAAAAAAAAAAAACTTTTACTTTCAATTTAACAGACTTGTTATTATATTTATCAATAATTAGCACTAAATCATGCCACTTAGCAACAGATTCATAGTTGATTGCATAATACATAATAAAGATTAATTCTTTAATATCAGCATGAGTGAAATTCAGCTGTCCACATTTGGTTTATTTTAGCACTTTAATTCAAATATCAGTCAAAAGTGATTTAACATAAAAAAAAACACACTGATATGTGTCACTTGCCTGTATAAAAAGAGCAATTTTAACAGACATATGTTAAAAAAGCAATAATAATAATACTAATGAAGCTACTTAAGTGATATCAAAATAAGAAAAATTAAATTTAGGAATAAAAACTGATAAATGAATTGAATAAAAGTTGTTCAGCAATACATCCACCTCTAATGCTTTACTAAAAGTTATTTTTTAATAATTAACAACCATACGTACTTTGCTATTTGGCACAAATATTCCATTATTAGGCACTACATTTCCTAAAAATTAAAAAGAAAAATTTTCAGGCAATTTAACTAAATTAATCATGTTTATTTGAAGATAATCTACACAAAATCTTTCACATATTTTACAAATTAATATCAAACAATTCACTAATATTTCTTAACATTTGATACATAAAACAGTTTACAATTGGTGATGGTTCTATTTGAATACAATAAGATTTTAAACAAGACACATCTTTTGTATAACACAACTTTTTAATTTAAAACAATAATTTTATATGACATTCAGATTTTGATTAAAAAACTTAAGCTCACATAACCAGGCACAGGACCACAATTTTAAAAATCCTTAATTTAACTTTTAGAAGACCCATAATTTCTAATTTTTCTTGGAAGTTAAACATAAATAAATATAGCAGTCTGTTTTAACCAGAAACTAATGATATTTATTTCTTTAGCAAAGAAAGCATAAATAAATACAGCTAATAAGGTTTCATAAAATTTTATTTTAGAAAAGACAGACAGCATGTCTAAACAGCTGCTCAGCCATGCTGTAAGAGAAAAAAGGGGAAAAAAAAATTACCCTTTGCCTTTTCATCTATTTCAGGAACTACGTAGCCTGGTTCAGAATCCTTTCGTATAGTACTAGTTCGTGGTCTTTCAAGAGCACTGTCCTGGTCTGGATATTGTTTACTACTGTTAGTTTTCTGTACATTAGATACCTGGTTTTCATTTTCAGTTGTCTTTATTATCTTTTTAGGTTTTGAATCTGATTTTTTCTTTACAAAGCTTTTAGCAATTTCTACATTAGTTTTACGCTCCGTAGCTTTTACCATTTTCTGAGATTTTTCAGAACTTGGATTTTTCTTAGTAGTGCTAACTCTCGAGGTGCTAGCCTTTTTACTAATGCTTGTTTCAACAGCTTTTATGCTACTTCTTGAACTTGAAGTAGATGTACTTTTATCTGGAACAGCAACTTTACCACGCACTGCATTTTTATCGACTTCCTTTTTAGCTACCTGAGATGACAAATTGTTTCTGTTTGCCTGATTTCTATCAACACTTTGTGCTTTCCTTGGAGATTCTCGTAGTTTAACTGATTCTCGTCTACTTAAACTTTCACTACGATATCTTTCATTCTGAGAAACTTTTTTTACAGATGATACTGAAGATTTAATCTTTTCTTTTTGTTGTTCAGATTTGCTTTCTTTTTTTAAGACTTCTGGTTTAGAACCTCTTTTCACACTGTGTGATTTTGAATCTGATTTTATCTGTTTCTGAAAGGAAATATAAATATTTTCATATTTTTTTAATAAATATTACACATAAAAATGACAAATCAAAACTACTTTTGCTAAGAGCATTGATTTAATTAAATATGCTAAAATATAAATATACTAAAGTTTTGAAATTGAATAACAGAAGAATATTTGCTTTTTAAATAATACAAAAGCTTTTATTTTCAAATAAAAATATCCAAAACAACAAAAGGTATTGATACATTAAACCAAGCAAAAAACAATTTTAAGATCTTTAGAAACACTGAATGCAATATATCACCAAATACAGTGAACAGGGGGGGGAGAAATTAACTTAATAAAGACTATATCTAAAGCAATGATTTTTCCTAATTCATAATGAAGCTAATCTATTTAAATTATTTTATTAGTTTATAAAATTGAAGACTTTACTTGAACCTGATATAAATACTTAAAAGTTCATAAACAATACCTGGTAATTTATCACTTATGCTCAGCTAATATACAATTACTCAATTAAAATACAGTTAATTCTTGATTAATTGAGCTGCAGATTACTGAGACTTTCTATAGAAACAAGTTATGTTTGTTTTTTGAGGAATAATGGAAAAATTATTATCACAAACCCTCAACATAAAACAGAATTGTCTATAGAAAATACAAAACAAAAAGAAATTGTATTTTAATGCCATACTGTTTATTCTTATATTATTTGCACTGTCTCCTTTTCACTTTGACTAATGTTTTAACTTACATAGCCAAATAAACTTACTCCCTAGCGTAATCTGTCTGAAAGAAAGGTAAGCTTTTAATACATAATGTTTTCTGTTAATTATAATATAAGTTATACCGACACCTTTCCTTTTATTTAATTGCCCTTGGATTAACAAAAATTTTAAATTAGCCATACACATCATCATCCCTGGTATTACCCTAATAAACTAAGAATTGAAAACTGTAGTGCATATTTACTTCAAATACTCAGAGATTTAATGCATTTACAGACTTTTCTGTATTAAAGATTTAAAATACTTTTAATAATTTGAATTAGAATTCCTCTGGAAAATATTATTGTATACAACAGTCACCATCAAAAAAACTAGCTGCATGAGATCATTAATCAAAATCATAATAACCCCACTTAAACTCTGTCCAAAAACCTTGGATGAACTAAAAGTGTTCAAAAACCTTACACGTTTAATAGCTGATAAAAACAGTTGAAACGTTCTGGGAGAATTACAAAGGATCAAATCACATATAATTTCTCAAAATTTTCTAATATTTCACATGCTTAATATGCCCTTAAATATGCATTACATATATAATCAATCATTCAGATTTTCCTATAACAATTTTGGAGATCTCTAAAATGGATGCTTTTGCTAATATTTACACAGAAAAGTACTAGTATTAAGGAAATTCAATTATGAAAAGTGGCTGGTTATTTAGAAAACTACAAGAGGAAACAAACCAAAAAGTTATTTAGCACACATGCTAATTACATTTACCAATTAACTAATTAAATTCAAAATGTGTACATACATACATTTAAAACAAAAAATATAATTATCAAAATTCTAACTTTAATTTGTGATAGTCCCTTAAATTTCAGTGGCTAAGCGGTAAAGTCACTGAACACTGGTAGTTCAGTCCAAGGTTTAAATCCTACAAATGGGCTGGCTTCATGGACATTTCATGGTTCTTCCCATTTGTAATGCGTATACAAGCTTGTTTCCATTGTAAAGTCCTCCACAAAGGTATCTTTCCTTTCGGCAGATAGCCCTCGAGTGCTTTGCCATAGTCAAATAAACCAAAGCCTAACCTTTAAATTCCATATTTAATTTGGCTGTTTCACCTTTCTGTCTTAAAAATAGTGACTTTGGTTACTTTTCTATTATGTACCTACCATGCTCTTCGGCAACTGTGAAAAAGAAGCCAAAAACTTGGTTTTTTAATCGTAAAAATAGTTTATAGAAGGTAAAATATTTAATTCTAGTTACTGTTGTTGGGTCTTGGCATGTGTTTGGCTTCTCTTTCACAGAAGCCAAAAAGAGTGTCAAGTGCATAATGGAAAAGTACCGTAACTTCATATAATAAATCACACTAAACTATATCATTTCAGAATTATTGCTGTCATATGATTCTTGTATAATGTTAATGATACAAATACTTAACATAATTCAACCAATAATAATTATAGAGATTTAAATTTAACCATTAAAAATAAAGCTAAACCAAAATTAAATCATTCTGAACAGGAATTTCATCTTAGACTTGGTGTATTCTAACTCTTGCTACTGTCAACTTCCTTAGCTGTCTTTGATTATATTTTTAAGAATCTAAAATGTACCAATGCAGGTCTTCAAAAACAGGAATATTTATTGTACCAATTTGTCTGAGCTGGCTTAAAAAGTCTTTGTCAATGAAAATACAGCAATACTGGTACTGATATATTATTTTGCCATTTATGAAATTGCCACTAAGCAGTGTAATTTAGAGCCAATCATAGATAAGTATGACGTAACAAGACATTCATAATATATGTGCTTTCATTAGCTGTAACCCTTATTGATTCTTGATAAGCCACCATTTGTTTCTATGAACAAGGATATAAATTAACTGTTATTGCTGCATTTTTTCTTGCATTAAAAAAAGTGATTAAAATTTCATATCTGCTTTGTAAGGAACAGCAAGCTTCTTGATGGATATGCTACTTGATTTGAAAATGGTTAAGCACTGGCAATATAACATGAAAAACTGTGACAACAAAATACACATTCAAAACGGAATGTGGTTTGAGGGCTGTTGAATCGCATTTTTGACTGCACTGCTTGCTGGTTGAAAGAATTTAACATCTGTTAAATGGGGAAAAGAACAGCTGGATATAGCAGGCAAAACAATAATAGATTGGAGAGATTGCTTGCAGGAATTTTATATTAATAGTATTCTAAACGGAGCTTTTGGTAAAACTGGAGGGCCTAGCAAAACACCAGAAATCAATATAAGTCTTTTTACAAAGTGCAAAACAAAGTGGGTCTAATACTGATTGTTCATTAAATAAAGAGGCAGCAGTTTCTTTAGAATTCCACAGGAAATGATTAGTGCAACTTTGGCAGGATCTCTGTTACAGTCAATGGAATAATAGATAAGTACAAAAATAGTACATTGGCAATGACTCCAAGTATCTCAGTCTTCTAAATCACAGTTATTCACAAATACCAGCTCATTGTAATTAAATTCAAAATATATATATTGTTATGAATTTTGTGCATAGAAAGATAATTTTAGTAAATTATATGCGAAATTTTATTTTTCTATGTAATGTAATATGAAAATATAGAGAGACGATGCTCTGCTGGAAAAATAAGGATGTCTATTTAATCTTCAAGTAAATGGCTATCTCGCTAATTTGGGAGATATCGCCACGCTGGCAACGATTTTGGTGACTAACTTTTGTTGACAAATTTGGCAAGAAATCGTTAAAAGTCACCAAACTTAACGCCATTTTAGTCCGATCTCTGTGTTACCGTAACAGATATTGTAATTGAATAATTCTAATTGATTTCATATGCAACTGTAATTACATCCGGCCTCATGTCTTTCAGTAATTTTGAAAAGTACTAGACATTTCTCAGAAGTCAGGTGAAAATTACATAAGGCCAGAGAGAGCATCTACTGTCAGTTGTTGGTTCAGTGTGAGTTCGGAGTACAGAGATATCTCTGGGTTAGCTTCGCTCTTTGGATGCGCTTTGTACTGCATCATGTTTAACATTCTTAGTAGTTTGAAGTGTAACTACTGATTAAATTCTGTGAGAGTGTGAAGAGTTGTACGACTATTTTTGAGCAAAGTGAGAGATCTATGAAGTGTTTATTTTTATAAAATAAATTTTATTGACCTACCATCAAACCTGTGTGCATTCAATCTATTACAAACCCATACATATGCATCAATATATATGAAATACAGGTATCTTTCCATTATGCACTTGCCACAATTTTTGGCCCTTTGATAAAGAAACCAAACACATGCAATAGTAGCATCATCTAGGGATTGTATGTGTGGGTCTGTGAATATAATAAGTAAAAACATACACATATTATTACAATAGTACCATCAAAATGTGTGGCAGGTGCATAACAAAAAAAATACCTAAAAATATACACGTATATATACAAAATCAATTATGAATCTTAAAGGCTGTCATATATTTAACCCTTTAATGGTTTGCCTGGATGATCTAACTCTTTGATGCAGACTTTTTAATGGGTTGTTACAAGAAATTGTTATTTTAAATATATCCTCGAATACAGGCCTGCTTGTGCTTTTGTTAGAATGAAAAGATATATCAAGTATGGGTAGCCCAGATTTTTGTTTTACTGTTACCCCCAAATGCCTAAGTGGACAAGCATTCCCCCAACCTTGATGACAATAGTAATGACCCTCATTAGTGTGGAAAGAACTCTTCTTGATGTTTCATGTTTTACACTGGTTCTAAAAAAACAAGAAATTTGTTACTGGTTAGAAAGTGAATGTATATAAAAGAGGAATTAAAAATTTCTGTTTTAGAACTGGTTAAGGAATAAAAAATAATAAAAAAAGACTTATAAAATTTATTTTATTATAACTTTTATTTATTACTCATGAAATCATTAATGAATTAAAAGGAGAAAAATAATTTATCATGTAGTTTAATAGGAATAAAAGATTAAATAATCCTCTTTACAAAATTCTTCTACAAATTTATATCCCAAATAATAAAAATGTTAGGTTATAAATTTATAAAACCTTTTGGATTTAACAATGGGATTTGATTATTTGATTTCGTTATTTTAAGTGCCTACATTTTTATTATTCCTGATATAAAACTGTACATGAATATTTTAATGATGCTTAATAATTCTCTTGTTCCAATTAAACTATATGATAAATTATTTTTTTGCTTTTGGTTCATTAAGGATTTTATGAGTTTTGAATAAATGCTTATTTTTATAAATAATTTTACCTTTTTAGTCTGAAT